TCTCTTTTATACAATTTTTTTAATATATATGTAAAAGGAGGGATTGTGGAAGGTTAAGTGAAATGGGTAGAGCTGATTCTTAGAGTTTTCTTGTTCCCATACTGTTAGATAGGATGGGTCCTTTTTAAGTCTGCTGTATCTTATAGGTTCATGTATGCAGATCTACTCTTTCAATTTCAGCAAACTGTGATCTCCCCTGATTTAAAGGGGGTGCATGCCCCCAGAAACATGCAGGCTTGTTGCTTCACCATCCCACCATCCCAAATTACATTTGGATTCTCAACAAATTCATTGAAGGAAATGTATCAGAACTGGAGCAGACAAAATCTGGAGCAGCTGTGCGCAACAACCAATCTGCTTTTTCATTTTTAAATCTTAACAAACTGAAGAGACACTGGTTGCTCTGGGCAACTGCTCCACTATTGATAAATCCCCCCCATTCTTGTTATGCAAGTCAACTTTGGGTGCATTTTCTTATTGTGTAAACATAACTGTGCCCTTAAGTGATTTGGTTTCTAAATAAAATAGCAAATCACGTTGTTTTCAACAATTTACATGGTTTCCAATTGACTTCAATTTTCACTTCCTTAGGAATGATTGAAACTGCACAAGTAGACGAACGGGCTAAAGGAAATGGCCCCAGCCAGTCAGGAGGTGCAAGGCGAGGCGTACAGATCGTAGATGATGAACCACAGGCACAGAGCGCCGGAGGATGTTGTTCTGGATAATTGTGTATAAACTGTGTGGATGCTTGTCCTATCAGGAAGATTGCCATATTCCAAGTCACATGTTCTTTTACCATTGGAGTAACAGAATTTAACAGTATTGAATCGATAACAAAATCAGAGACCAAGCTGTATACTAGTGGAGTCTGACCAGAGAATTGGCATTTTCTACAGCTGTTAACCTAGCAGTTACCAATGGCCTTTTTACATATGTTTTTCTTTAATGAAGAATAATATGCATGTAGAAGAGACCTACTTAAAGCTTCATTTATATTCTTTTTAAATCTGATCCTTATTTAATAACTTATGTACATTGTTAGAATGGTATGCACTTTGCTGCCCTTTGTATTTTGTGGAAAACTAATTGTACTCAAAAAAAGAAAACCTGTTTTTGTTTTGGCAGATACCAGTCATTCTATTTTTGCAAAGTTTGCACATGTTCTAAATGTCCACATTAGTTATACTCGGTTCATTTCGGTAAGATGATCTGATAAATGTGCTCTGTGCATTACTAATTAAATATTTTATCTGCTTTTCCATGTTGCAAAAAACAAATTGTACTCTAATGTTGTAAGTGTGGATTTGCAGTTGGCAGGTTTTGTTAAATACTGTTCTGCAACTGACCTGTATCACGTCACCACTAAGACTTTTCACTTGTCTGTATACCTTGCTCTGGTTTGTTGTGATTGCATATCTCTATACGTTTTTTTGTTTTTTCTTTCACCCACAAATTTTTAAATAGCAATGCTAATCGGAGAACCTAATATGAATCAATCTAGCACCATGTTCTCAATCGGCAGATACGTTTTTGAAGGTGTATAACTTGCAAGATGTAGAAGCAGAAGTTGCGGCTTGGTACTTATTAATCTCTCCCATGTAATTGCTATTATTCGTTGTAGAATAAATCATTTCTGTCTAACAAGGTCATCTCCTCTAGTTTTGAGAAACTTGTATGCAGTTTGAACTAAAAAAAGGTTTTCCTAGAAAGAGTTAGCCTCTTTACTTGGTTTCTAAGGGAGGATAGGTGTGTCATGTGTGAGGATAAGTGTCACACTTTGAAGGCTGTGCTCCATGTGAAGGTGGTAAATTGCTACCAAGTTGATAACGGGTACCTACAGTTGTCTTCATGTAAGTTCTTAAGCGCCCAAGGAGCCTGAAATGGGGAACCCTTAATCTGCTCATGTCAGCTTTCAGATATGTAAGCATCTCTAGGTGCCTGCTAGTGTTTTACAAACTTTACATTAAGCATTGGTCCTTATAAAGTGATGGCCATGTGAAACCTGCTTGTGCTTTCACCCATTTTGAAGCTCGTTTTTAAGATAGCGTTTCTTGACTTATTCATTACCCTTCCCCCCAATGGAAAGAGGTATGTTTGTTTTTTTTGCCCCCCCCAAGATAGATAAACCATTTAAGAATAGCCAAAATTGGCTTTTAACTTTTTGGCACATGCCGGTAATTTGTCACCCATCAGCTTCCTAAAACTATCACAAATCTCAGATTGTGAGATCCCTGCAATTGCATACAGAATGACTGAACCAACTCGCTTTGCCTTATGCTGACCAAAGCTATTTTCTCCATGGGTGGTGAACACTTTGCTTTATGTAAAAGCAAACCAGATCCGTAGTGATTGCGAGGCTACGTAAGGATCTCCCTTCTGGCACTGCAGAGTTTATGAAGCCTTCATGACGGTTTATTCTAATTCTAAAGGTTAGGTGGCGATTTTAAATTTTGTTTTTCATATGATCATTGGAGTGAGACAAATTGATTCATTGTGTGTGGGTTATTATTGTATTTGATTTGCAAAGAGCAATTTAGTGTAGTTTTGAAGGACATGTTAACCTTTTTATGGTTTCTTTGAAAATTCATTTTTTTTATTTTCCTTTTCTGTATAACTTTTTTTTTTTCCTGCATCGTGTTTGCCACATTTTCAGTTTTGGTGAAATGGACTAAAAAGAAATGTTATCATTAAATGTCATTCGCAAACAAAAAGTAAATGGTAATATCTAAGACATCCTAGATCATTTGATTTATTTTTGATGGTCATGTCTAGTGAAATGTATGAGGCAGGGCTAGATTCACACTGTATTGCTATAAAAATGCAACATTGCGTGCACTTGCGAAATGCGTTCTGCAGTGCTTTCACTTCTTTTAAGCACATTCTTTGCGGTGTTTAATGCAAGCTCATGTGTGCGTAAAAGTGTGATTTAAACATGTTGGGGGGAATTTATCAAAATTGGAGCAGATTTGCACTGCAACCAATCTCTCTCTCTCTCTCTCTCTCTCTCTCTCTCTCTCTCTCTCTCTCTCTCTCTCTCTCTCTCTTCTGAGCAAAGTGAAAAGATGCTGATTGGTTGTCATGGGCAAGTGCTCCTAATTCTGTCTACTCCAGTTTGATAAATCCCCCTTTGTAATGTTTTGTTACACTACAGCGTCAACTTAGCCTAACAGTTGTTTGTTAATACATGTGAGCTTGGATATATTGTAATTTCTTCCTCAACATTTTAGGACAGGGTTTCCAAAATATGGTATATGAAAATATTTAGTCTGCAAAATCTAACTGGGCACCTAATCTTGTTAAATCAACTCCCTTCGATTAAAATAGAAATTGATCATTATTAATGGCCCCTCTGTAACTATTGCTATGGCTTTCAATGTAATAACAATTTTTAGAGTCTGGCTATGTGTCCTACTCTCTGTCCAAGCTGACAACGTGGACTTGTAAAGCAGATATTCTGGCCCTCTGTATAATGATGGTGGAATATTTGTGCAGTTATCAGAGGGAGGAGTTATTTCTCAAATGTTTATACCTTGGTGCTGCCTGACTATGTAACTTACTCATGGCAGTGCCAATTGCACTTAAATGTAAATCAATGACACAATAAACAGTTATTCATAGTAACATTTCTAGCTTGGAATAATGTTTTACAATTCACCATTGACTTTATGTTCTATTTTCGGAAGAAAAAAAATTGCTTCTGTTTAGGGAATAATCTTTTGTATGGAAGATTGTTCACAAGTGTAATAAATGCAGTCTTCTTCCTGGGGGGGGACTTGAGTAAACAAGGTTAAAATATAATAATCCAGATTTTAAAAGCAAAAGAAGTGGCTATAGATTGTACATATGGTGTGGGAAGTCCTTTGCCATTTAACAAAGCACTAACGGTATGCTTACTATAGGAAGAGTTGTATACAGTGAACCTGGATGCTGCTTGTAAAAGTCCTGTCTAGGAGCATGTTACAGGATGCCTCTAATGCCTTTTTATTAGCCTGGAAAGCTCTGATTGTTTCCATTTTGTTTCTCACTTCACTGATGAGCTCCAATGAGTGTCCTTAGTGGCCACTGGCAATCTCAGTAGACCATGTAATGGCTCTATGAAGGAATGTAAAGCCTCAGTAGAACAAAAAAAACAAGATCAAAGGAGTACAGAAGAATAATTTTTTTTGTGTTTTTTTTTGCCCAATCCTGAGGTTGTCCTCTCTAGGGTGCAAGGGTACATCTCCATATTGAGATATTGCTTCGTATTGTGGAGCTTACACCAAGGCTTAATACAGCCCAGCTTCTGTTTTTTTTTTTTTTTTTTTTACTGATTCTGATACCTGAAGCATAGGGAGCTTTTTAACATGGGCGAGGGTGAGAACTGCTCCTGTCACAATTTGGATACAGGAGAAATGATGCATCAAGTGCAAATTGGAATTTGATAGGCTCCCCCCCTCTTTTTATAATGAGGATTAAGAAGGTGTACCATTTGTTTCTTTTGAACAATAAAAAAAAAATGTTCCAACACTAATAAATCTGCACTGAAACACTAAAAGGTGGTAAAAGACAATGGGAGAGCTGTTGTTGGCAAGACACAGCTAAAGAGACCAGACCAGGCAGCACAAGTTAAGTCTTTGGACGCAACCTACCTGTCTACTCAAAGCCATTGCTGATTAAGGTGCCCATACACTGGCCGAATTTCGTCTGGTTATTGTACTGGCCGAAATTCGCACAGTGTGTGGATTTGTCGGCTCTCCTCGATCAGCTGATCGAATGAGCCGGCTGGAAAATCTGTGTGAGATCAAAGCTGACAGCCAATGAGCTGCCCGATCCAGCGGTTTAAGGATTTGACTGAATTTGAGAAGGGCCAAATTGTGATGGTCAGAAAATTTGTTCAGAGCAACTCTGAAACTGCAACTCTTGTGGGGTGTTGCTGATCTGCAGTGGTCAGGACCTACCAATGGGCTGTGCTGGAAAAATAAGTCCAATCCATGGAGGCCCCACCTAGCGACTTATAGGACCTGCTACTGATGCCTTGGTGCCAGATAAGTGCATACCTTCAGTGGTCTAGTGGAGTCCATGCCCTAGCCATGGGTCAAGGCCATTTTGGCGGCAAAAGCAGGACCTACTCAATATTAGGCATAATGTTATGGCTGATCCCTATGTGTATGTCTGATTATACACACACTGCAAAAGTTTTAGGCAGGTGTGTAAAAAAATTGTTTCAGAACTAAAAGTGTTAAGTTTGTTTTTATCAATTAACAAAATGAAAAGGAAATCGACACTAGAGAAAATCAAATCAATATTTGTTGTGACCACCCTTTGCCTTCAAAACAGCATCTTCTAGGCACACTTGCACACAGTTTTTGAAGGAACTCGGCAGGTAGGTTGTTCCAGATATCTTGGAGAACTGACCACAGATCTTTTGTGCATGTAGGCTGCCTCAAATCCTTCTGTCTCTTCATGTAATCCCAGACCGACCCAATGATGTTGAGATCAAGGCTCTGTGGGGGCCAAACCATAATTTCCAGGATTCCTTCTTCTCTACCCTGAAGATAGTTCTTAATGACATTGGCTGTATGTTTAGGGTCGTTGTCCTGCTGCAGAATACGTTTCGGGGCAATCATACGCCTCCCTGATGGCATGATGCATAAGTATCTGCTTATATTTCTCCGCACTGAGGACACCATTGATCCTGACCAAATCTCCAACTCCATTGGCAGAAATGCAGCCCCAGACTTGCAATAAACCTCCACCATGCTTCACTGTTCCCTGCAGACACTAAACACTGTACCGCTCTCCAGCCCTTCAGCAAACAAGCTGCCTCCTGCTACAGCCAAATATTTCCAATTTTGACTCGTCAGTCCAGAACACCTGCTGCCATTTTTCTGTACCCCAGTTCCTATGTTTTTGTGCATAGTTGAGTCACTTAGCCTTGTTTCCATGTCGGAGGTATGGCTTTTTGGCCGCAAGGTGCTTTACTTCAAAGCACCCCATATACAAGTTTGAAAAGCTACATACAAAATAGGTATCAATAACAGTTCCAGTTTTTCCATAAATATAATTTATGGGGGAGCTGGAATTTATGCTGAAATGACCATAGAATAAACTTGATTTGTTTTTGTTTGTTTTGCCATCAACAGTCTTTCTCCCATATGACTGGCTGTAACTCCCTCCAGTAGGTATGCAGTATCTTTTAACATAAGGATGTGTATACAAAGATCAACATAATGGGCTGGTGGGAGGAATGGATACCCACAATTATGGGTCTTCCTGGGAGATTATTTAAAGTACATGTATAATCAGAACTTTTAATTGTTGTTTCGAATAGAATAGGAAAGGGTTAAAGCCCTTTTTCAGTTTATTTTTTTTTTGCTGTGTGTCTGGTTAGAGAGATTTTAATTCACTACCTGTCCCAGAGGTAATAGAGAGTGACCATTTCCCTTCACTTTTTCTCTTGATGACATTGATCTCCAGGACAAACGGTGAATTTTCCCTGCAGAAACACAAACATCAATAAAACCTGATAGGCGGTCTAATCTGGAGCAGTGGAGCTCCCCAAAAATTAAAATGGACCAAGATAATGGTACACGGAGACAGTATATGTGATACAAATGCATACCTTTGTGTTCTTTTTGCACTAGCGGTAGTCCACAGATGTC